ACGCCGTTGACGCCGTTGACGCCGTTGAAGACGTTGACGCCGTTGACGCCGTTGACGACGTTAACGTCTTCGCGCGCTTCGCGCGCTTCACGTCTTTGCGCCGCATCTCACGTCTTCACGTCTTCGCGCGCTTTGCCCCAAAATTTACGCACCGCTGCGGCCATCAATGAATGTCCTGGTTTCCGGGGTACCAAATCCACTTGTACCCTGGAAAGCCTAGGGGTCCAAGTGCCTGATGGAAACCGCCCAAAAGTCTTTATACAAGAAGCCACTCGAGTGCAGATTGCAAGCTATCTACCTATTGAAATACTTGTACCCTTAGAGTTTCAGTTAGACTTGCGTGTTAAGGCCGCGAGTCCCAACTGAATGCAAGCAGGTCCGACAAGCTCATGCGCACTTCGGAGAAGGAGCTCATGGTCCTGCCGCCCCAAGGGTCCAATTTAGGGTTTAGGGTTACGGGTTCCGAAGCACTTGCCTTCCAAAAATAGGGGCCCCTTCTGGGAATCCTGTAGCAAGGATGTTAACAAATATTTCAGGTCTGTTTTGGGGGCCTCTCACATACGGGTACTTTGGACATAAATTAGATGTAGACCTGTGCATATACTCAATGGGTACCCGAGCCCTTTGACCCAAGTAGCTCCTCAACAATGGTGTGACCCACACAGTTTACAATTTAGTTCATAAGGGAACAGAAGGGGATTGGAGGGGAACTTCTGTAGAGCCATTATTTTGAGAACAAGGCTGCTGCTTCCCCCCGGGCACATCCGTTGGCTCATGAATTTGCTTGAAAGGCAGTTTGTAGTAAAGGCGGGGCCTCAAACGTCTACTGATTGAAAATGGATTCCTTCTCCGAAGACGCCCCACAAATCACTACCGTATGGGAACAGGCGCTAGCTGCGCCGTCGAGGGCTCAAAGAACACCAGTTGCTGTTAACAAAAACTATTGGCCAAAGGGGCCCTCAAATGAACTTGTTGTGGCCGGTATTTGGGTACTTGGACATTTAGGGGTGCAGAGAGCTTCTGCTCATATAGAAGGGCGTTCGAAGGAAAGTATAGTCAAGAGACACTTGAAGGGTTCAAGTGTCTAGCGTGCCGAGATTTGAGTTGCTCAACCGCAAAAGTCTGTGAACCCCACCCCCCTCACGCCTAAGCTGTATGAGCAGCTGCTCCAAGCGCCAGCTAAGGCGCTCGTAGGCGGCCTCCGGGAATCTCAGACACTTTCAAATGGGGTATGAATGGGGTATGACAAATCAAGTAATTTGAGACCGCATCTATGGCGTAAGCAGGTAATTGTTCACTCGGTTCCCTTGTCGTGTACTTCGGCTCCAGTGACTGCCGGCAATAAGGTTCAAGCCGTTTGCCTTCTGAGGACGGCTGTGACGCCTACTGCTATGGCACCTTGCCTGACAGCACCCAGCTAACCAAGACTTCTTCTGCTCAGGGCGTTCTTATTTGCTGCTGTTGTACACACACACATATATATATGTATATACACATCTTGCTACAGCTAGCATATAAGCAGCCATCAGACAGCAAACGCAGCCGCAATCCTAGCTAGAAATCGTTTCTTAGCTATGGATGTTTCACAGCTAAGTGCACTGGTGATCTAAAAAGTGTTGTCTAGGAACCTTGACGCTGAAATACCCTTATCAGAAAGAAACCGTGTGTCTCAAGTACCAATACGCTGTGCAGCAAAGCATGCTCGCAAGCCAACGATAAATTCGCGGCTCAGCTGACGCAGCGTTATCCCAACCTGTGGAGTCCAAAGTCTCATGTAGCATAATCAATTCCATCCATGTGCGTCTTTTCCATCTCCGGTGCAACTGTACATGCTGTACAGATTCGAAGTTGAGCCATCCACATGAGGTCATGCGGACAATGGGAGATGGGGATTTCTCATTTTACAGAATCCATCTGCTTCTGGGGGTAGACTGAATCCTCATTATGAGGAGCTCCCACCAGATGTGTGAGGGGGCGAGCTGCGACCGCAATGCGGTGGCATCCCCCCTATCTGCACAAACAAGATCAGGGCTATAAATCAATTGCAACAACGACAATACCATTACCCCAACACCATGGGAAGCTGTAAGTTGTGGCAGTGTTACTATGGCACAATGTAGGCGCCATATGGCATAGCAATCTTTCGCCCAACCCCGAATACATGCGCAAGCTCGTTCATTTGTAGGCCAAATGGCTCTGGATCATGAAAATCCAAGACATATCATATGTCTTGCATGACAGCATGCATACCCAGGAACTCACCTACTCCTAGATGAGGTGCACTAGCACCATTAGCGGCTTCTAGGACACGGAAACTTCAGCGCTGGCCGGAGTGCGAGAGAGGTCTTCTGCAGTGACAACTTTCCGCGCAGGTTGGGCGTAGCTCGGCGCGAGGAGATCAAATCCTGCAGAAGGGATGTCGAGCTTAGGGGCTCAAACAGCACGGCAGGCCGCGCACAGCCCATAACCCATGCAAGCTCCATTATGCTTTTCAGAAAAGGCATCTGGGTAGGGGTTGTTGGGATCATTATTATTACATGGGAGTCATTAATCAAGGCTGATATAAGTTCATTTTCCGAAGCTGCTGCATCACACACTTTGAGAAGCCAATGGCCTGCTGTGAATCCTTACAGAACGAACAGCTTCCTAGACCCAACCCCCATCCCTCCAAAAGAACGAATGCTTAAGCTTCCCAGAGTAACCCCCGTGGAGAGTGGGGCTTCCTGGGGGAGGTTTCTTGGCACAGGGTTGACATAAAAACCTATACACTTAGGGGCAGAACAAAGGCGGTCAGCACTAAGTATGGCCAGCATTTCAGCCTTCGTCAAGGTTCGTGCCCCAACTTCGGTCTTTTTGTCAACGTTCGTGCCCCTGCTCCCCCTTCGAAAGCCCTTCGTGTCACACCCCTCCCCTAGAGCTGCTTATCTCAGCATGACTGTAGTATGAAAATTGTTTTTAGTATGGTTATGACTTCTCGTAATTTCCATTAGCCCTTCGCGAGCCCCTTTTCCTTCGCATCACTTCGTGGCCCGCCTGCCTCCTTTGAGTTGTCAACGTGCTGGCCATGCAAAGCGCTGACCCCATTTGTTTTGCCCTGAACAATGCGCATCCAACCGCTGGCAGGCCTCAATGCATGAATGAATGGCTACGGTACGTGCTTTTTTGTTACCAGTCAAGAGACGAACCCGAGATTTGATGCTCCCTGTATCCAACCAAAAGGTCTGTCACGCCGTGCTGTGACGAGGTGTGCTAGCCCTACGGTGTGTTTCTTGCCCACTTTGTGTCTGTGGGAATCCTGACAAACCCCAAGTTTAACGTCCCTCGTGGATGCTTCCCAGACCCTCGACTAGGCATCCCAAGCTGTAACCATCACTGTATCGTGCCACGAAATGCAGGACGCAAATTTCAACCGAATTAGAAAGACAATTTCCTAGAATTATCTCCAACTAGTATCCATCAAGCACCACAAACCCTGTGAAGAGTAGAGCCCCGTAACCAAATCTATACCCCAAACTCACATCCTGCACACTAAGCCCTAGACCCGAAATCCCGTACCCTGCTCCCTAGCGCGTGTGTGCACCAAACTTCAGACTCCTTGGCCGTAGTAAGTTGCCCAATCAAAGTTTGGATCCACATTCTCGCGGCGGAATGCTTCTGCCATTCGCCGCCCCTCCTGCGCAGCTTGGGATTGCAGTTTAGCCCGAAAGGTCCAAGGACACATAGTAATATTCTAGTTTGTGCCAGATTTTAAAACATTCGGATAGGAAATTTGTCTAGGTTAAATGTAGGTATCATTTAGATACTTTGGATTCTTAGGGCAGGGTTAGGGTCTTGGGTCCCGATTGGGGCATATTCACGTTTCTAGTTTAGAATTTCCTGTTTCGGTTGGGTTCTACACATGTTTCGGGCCTAGGGCTAGATGGCGAAGTAAATGAGTAAGTTTGAATACCCTTCTGCTAGACACCCGCGAAAGCCTGCTTTTATGACTTGAATCCAAACCTCACCAACACCTGATTAGATGCCTTGCGGTAAGTGTCGCTAGCACCTGGTGTGCAGAGCGGGTCTTTGGACTAGTGACTGGCTCTTGCGGAATTCAAGTGGCTTTAAATTTGGTCAAGGATGTTAGGATGTTCGTGAATAAGGATTTCACACAAAGCGTGGTCCGACTGACGCTCTGTTCAGGTATCACAACTATGTATAATGAGCTACAGTCAAAAACTCCTAGTATCCCCTTAATAACCCGGTAATATTCATTTAACCCCCTTTACGGAGCTTAGACTATAGCTCAGATGATGACTAAGCAGCGGAAGGAGTCAGCCTGCAGTCTCCTATACATATGCGCGGCTAGGAACAAGCTAAGGAAGATACATAGTGGGACCAGAATTGTAAGCTTTAAGCACTGTCGTACGGAGCTGGACCGTGATAGGGATCCATTCCCAAATTCACTACTAGCCACCAAAGCCCCAACTAGTATATATGGGATTCCACTTTCCTTTTCATTGCTTCCTTCCCTACGAACCACCAGGAAGTATAGCAGCCACACAAGACAGCTGCCCCTTTTGTCCTCAGGAGAGTCGGCTGGCGAGGCGGCCTGCAGAATTTGGCCAATCTAGGGGCAACAGAAAATTTGAATAGGATTGGGGGGGCAGATACTTATATACATATGTCTATAGATGTATGCATGTATACAACTATAGATATGGATACATCTGTACATATATATATATACACATATGTAGAATTGTATTAGGGTTCTGTAAGGGATACAATGTGTTCTTACTCGGGCTCATCCTGTATCATTTGAAAACTTCTCGATATGGGGGGGGGGGGTACCCTTGGACCTGTCTAGGGATTGCACAGGGATCGTCAAGAAGTGTTGCTATCTTACTCTCGATACTTCAAAACAATCTCGAGAAACTCTCGACTCTCGAGATCCTTGTACATCAGCTAGCAAGTGATGAACCCCATGAATGCGAAGCAAACTACATCTTCTTATGTGAAGGCTGGAGTCACTGGAGTCTTCCAGCAGCATCAAACTAACGATGCCTGAGGGAGACATTCAAAGTTGCATTAGTCGGAAGGGATGGACCACGTGCCAAATCAAATGAAAGGTTGAGGTTCTTGCAAGAATAGGTGTTGCGTCAGGCTCTTGCAAACATGTCGAAGTCTGGTACGTGGACCTTGGCTAGATGTTCAGGGTCCTTGGCGCCCCGCAACCACATCAAGAGCGAACATGTGCATGGCAACATTTGACATCCCCGTCGCCCGCTCACGCCTACTGGCAATTTCAGAGACTCTTAGTATGAACCAGATTCACATCATTCTTGTAGAACGGTGGTTGCACGTCCAATGGGACAATGATGCATACGGCCTCAAAATACAAGGACAGCCGGACATGCAAGAATCAAACGGGCATAGTATCTTTCTAGCGCAGCGCTGCGCATCCACAAAGAGCACGAACAGGAAACGCAGTAATAAGACGGCAATCAATCGTGATACTCCTACCGCACACTCCTTCCTACCCATAGCACAGGAAATCTTCAAATGAATGATAGTGCAGACTGGTCACTCCGCCGTTCTTCAAGCCTGAACTACAAGGTTGCCAAAACGAAAAGCCACAAACCCCAAAGTAAACAGACAGCTGAGTGCAACTTCGAAGAATCAGAACCCTGGAAGCAAGAGAGTCTTGGTTCTAGTAAACAAAAGATGGGCCGCTCAATACCGCATTCCAATCTAAAGAGCCGCCCTGAAGCCTAAATCTAAAGGCCTCCAAATGACAGACCCTAAGTTCTGAATCCTTGAATTTGAACCTACTTGTCGAGCCTATATCGAAAGCCTACAAGGCCAAACCCTGAACGACGCAACCCTAAACCCTCAATTAAATCAATTGACCTTAGGCGGGCAGCCTCATCCTCTACTGTCTTTCTCCTCGCCCCTTGGCCGTAGAGACGGCCGTCTGGCAGCTGAAACCTGAACGAAAGGAGGGTTGTCAGGGTTTTGGGGTTTGGGAGTAAGTAGTTTTGAGTTGAGGGCTTCAGGGTGTAGTGAAGTTAGAGAAGGTGCATCAAACACCTACCAGCAGTGTTTGGGTATGTAGAGGAATACGTAGTGTATACATGAGTAAATGCTGGATATCTTGAAGTACTTTCCGAACCTGACATGACGTTAATTGGGGGGATATTCGAAAAAAAAACAAAAAAAACGTGTGCGGTGAGGTTGCGTGAGGTCGTTATGATTTGCCCGGGATGAGATGCTGATACTTTGTTGTAGCTAGGATATTATGTATATGACGAGAAACGGGTGCGATTATGATAGAAACTATAATCATCTCGCTCAAACAGTAAGCATGCCCAACAGTGGATTGGTTGGTTTCGGCGAACAGCCTATTTATGGCCTGATCAGCACCCCTGATGTTGATAAAGATGTCATATAAAAATATCGATGTATAAGCTCTCATACAGGATCTTCACTACTGTGGACAATTGGGGGGGGGGGTGTTTAATATCTGGTGCGATCGCGCGCTCTTAGGATATATTGCGAACGGTAGTCCCCGCTCCGACTTCGGGGTGAATGCCGCATGTGCCGAGAAAATAAGCGTAAATTCGGAGTGTTACAGTGTTGGGCCCCAAGGGTAGGAGGTCAGGCGTTGCGAAGGTAAGATATTTCCAAATCCGAGTCAGTGAGAAACTTGGCATGGAGGATGCTTCTCCTCAACTCCCTTATCATTTCGTCTCTATGAGGCGTGGTTTGGACGGACCTACCCTTTGAAGAAATGAGTGGCCAAGCAGGTACTTGCGCTGCTTTCTTATAAGTGCGAAGCTGTCGAACAGTTGGCACAATCATTGAATGCATGCTTGACCTGGACAGTAAGAGGGAGTGGGAAAGTGAGGGAGGGAAAAAATGCGAGAGCGGGCGAGATGGCAAATTAGAGGCTAAGAGGCGAGACGTGAGAATGGGCGGGAAATCCCCGCGCTCTATAATAATTACCGTTGACCAACAATGCTGTTGATGCAAGAGCTGCACCAAGTCAAGCTCCCTAAGCCTTGCAGGAAGTGTCTTCAGTGCAGCGAGATGTTCCATCCAGAGCACTTGTCTAATGCGAGACAATGCGAGCAGTAGCTGAGTAGCTGAGAAGTCCTTAACTGCGGGCTGGAAAGTCTCGCGCCCCAACCTACTATTGACAGCACGTGGGCCCTTAATAGTACAGCATCTATTACCCGTGTGCAGAATGAAGCCAATTTTTGTCACCGGTGAATCGCAGCCAAGGGGATGAACGCCCTTTGCAAGTGATCATATGCATTGTCCAAAGCCAGCGAGCACTCTTCAGGCCTAATGAGCTGTTGCTACGCGGCCTTCTGCGTTCTAATTACAAGTGGATGATTGCGAGGGAGATTTTGCAGTGCATCTCGAAGCGTCAACTGGCTCTGGAGAAAGAGTGAGGAAACTGTAGCAGCTCTTGTAGAAGAGCTCTGGGGCAAGATGTAAAGAAGACAAGCTGACATGTGACCTCGAGCTCATGCTATGTCAGCATGTTTCGCACAGCAACGAGGATTGGAACTGTGCATGTTATCTGTGCTCTGCCGGTGCCTCCAACATGCGAAGGCTTCAAACACCAACATGTATGAAGATCTCTGCTGCAATCGCAATGCCATAAACAAAGGCCAGTGCTGAAGGCTGTTCATAATGTCTGAATTTCCCTTATAAGACAGTTCATGATACATTAGTGCATATGAATTCGCCAGTTCTTGTTGCCATCAGCGTTTTGAAGCTGAAGGACGTGGGCACACGCAAGCGTGCATGAGTTGCCATCAAGAACTACTGTACAATGACCAGCGAAGCTCAGGCGCTCCGTCAACTTTGTGGATATATTATATATATATATATATGTATATGGATGACTTCAATCTCAAAGCAGAACTGGCTGACCCCAACATACGGCCACAACCTGGTCTGGGGGTAATTGAGCCTTGAGCTGCACCAAAGCTGCCTTGACAGAGCCCGGGGGCTCCTTCATGCAGCAGGCTGCCAGTTGAATGAGGGGCATGCGCTTGGCAGTCTTCTCAACGAGACGGAGCATCCTCGAAGAGGCCACCTCAACGTCCGGATCGGTCAACTCGGCTGCCATGAAGTCAATCACTGTCTGTGCTTGTGGTAGGAGTCCTGTTTCTTCTGCCCTGCGCTGAAAGAGTGGCAGAAAGGTGACTAGACGCTCCTGGCTACCCATCTGGCTTAGAAACTTGCGCTGCTTCTTGTCCAGATTTACACGAGCAACCTCGTGAGGCAAGTGACAGTAACCACAAGCTTTCCCAAGAGAGCACCCTCCCCCTTTGCACATGTAGACACATGGCCGAGAGCACAGCTCAGGATGACCAAAAGAGCCCCAGTTCAGAGGCACTCTGGGAGTGATGTCTTCAAGCCCCGGAGGGGGCAACCACACCACGGCACTGCTGACTGTAGAGAAACCCAAGCCGTTGTGGAAGTCCCGGGGACTCTGAGTGATATCTTGTGTCTGGCTATGACTCATCGCTGCCCAAACCAGACTGCCTGCTACAGTCTCGGACTGCAACATCTCAAACCCGTTTTGAAACTGAAACAGCTGCCTGTGCTCCACCTGCTCGCATGATTGAGGCTCTGCAATCATCACGACACGATTAAGGGTTTAGGGTTTAGTCTGCCAAAGAGCTGCTGTCCCTCTCCGTTCCAGGGGTCAACAGACAGGGGGCGGTGCAGTCCCTTGACTTATACAGCATTAGCTCATTAGCTGTGTGGCTGAAGCTTCAGGAAAGAAGGAATCGCATCCTTCCAACGCCCCATGAGAAGCCTCAGTTCATTTTCTATATGATTCCCTTCTACTAACCTGAAAAAATCATGACGAAGTAGCAAAGTATTCCCCGAAACCCCGCTCTACCGGAACCATTCCTTTTGACTTGAGCAAGCTGCACTTGCTGCATCCATAGTTTTGGGAGCGAATTGCCCAAACTTCTGAAAGAAAGATGTACGTGGGGCTTTCCGCAAGTTAGGCTGTGTGTTGCACTGGTTACTCACTAGTTTGGGTTCTATGCTGGAACAAGTGCATCGTGAGGGTGCTGCTTCCTGTTTTCAATCGGCATGTTTTCGTCACAACTCTGTAGCCTTAGACATCCAAGGCCGCCGTCTCCCCTATGCAACAGCTCCTTACACGCCAAAACTAGAAAGTATCTGTCAGGCGGCGTGGCCACAACGCGTAGTGTCAACGAGACCTGGATTTTCACAGGACTGGCTTTGGATCATCGCATTGGCAGCGGCCTATGTATGGAAACTTCCGCAGCGATACAGTCGTTGTGCTCTAGTTTTGAAGTACTGCAGGATTGAGGCTTACTTGATTTCGGCCTTGAGTTGAGTGAGCTGTGGCTAGTCCAAGATAAAGCTCCATGCTTAGTCTACCTCAGCGCTATCTGTACTTACGCCACAGGCATAGCTCGTGCCCACATCCCTACACACCATAATCTGAAGTCCCCTCTTTGAGTCCTACAAACGCAACAGACCTTCTGGAACCCCAGAAATCCGAGATCCCTAAGCCTGAAACTGCAGAAAATTGAGAACCAGGCATTATAACCACCTATATTGTGTTTTGGGGCCTTCTTAGTGAGGATCAGGGATAATGATCGTGAGGCCCCCTAGAATGATGTGTTTTGATTTTGAGGCCCTAAAAACACAGGAAAGTTGTCATTGCTTCTTAATTTTGAAAGGCATGCCTTGTAAAATCCTTTTCCAACTCAGCCTTCAGAGCTTTAGATCCTGAGTCCAGATACCAAATCCTAAACCTGCAGCCGATCGGTTTTTACTTGAAACCCTTATTCAAAACCTTGAAATTCTCAGCCGTAATCATCTGGGCAAGGAGGGTAGTCCAGCAGGCCTCTGGATCCTCTTTGATGCCCATTGTTTTGAGGTCAACTTTAATCTGGCAGCCCCTCGGCCCCTGTAAGTTTTGGGGCCGAGACCACCCCTTTTTAAATCAATTCCCAGTGCCTTCAGAACCGCGGGAGGTTTTGATTGAACGTACTCAGGGTCCTTAATTTCTGTTTTTCTGGGGGCCCTTTTGTTAGGGAGAGAGGGGGGGCCCAACACTGAAGCGGATGCCACATTAATGTATGTTATTCTGCTAAGTTATCCAGGGCACACGGACGCCGCCAAAGGCTGTCTCGTCCCCTCGCCTTTGCCCCTCTGGCCTCCTTCAGGTTCAGTAGGCTCAGGCTTCAGAGCAGGTTAAACGAACTCTCGGGGTTCATGGAAACTTTATGGGCCATGGTCAAGGATTAGGAGGATCTTGTAAGCTTCCAGGAATGGGGCCTGAAGTTGGAATGATTCTGGGATGAGGGTCTTGGGGCTTGAGTGCAGGATTCAAGTTCAACAACATCAATCAATCAAGGAAGCGCCAGAATACTGCAGAGTAGATACCAGGTTAGAGGTCACGCGCAGCTAATTATGGTGATAGAGGTCGATCTGGGAGCAGGGAAAATCAGTCCTGTGCACAGAGCATTCTACTATGAGGTTCAGCCATGACAGTTCTCAGGCGCGGCACTGGGATGAGCGGTAATTCCAGAGCCGCGCGGCTGAGTATGCCAATCCCCTATCATCCTGAAGTATCCCCAATATACATATCACAGATGAAGCTTTGCAGGTATAATGGACTAGACTCCTGAATCCTGCGCCTAAAATACAAAATCATGAGACCCTACACCCCAACAGCCGAAGCCCCAAACCAACGCCCTAAATGCCCTCGCCTAGCTAAACCTCATATACCACAGTGACCCATGCGTACCCACATATCCCCGTTTATCCCTACATACCCCCTAGCAGTCCTGTCAGGCATGATCTGGTGCGTGCACACACGATTGGTCTTTAGACCAAATGCCAAGGCTGAGTTGTGTGGTAGAACCTGAGGCTTTGGGCTTTAATGTTTTGGGGTCTGGAGGTGTCGGGGGCTATTTTGATTGTGAGGGATCGTACAGGGTCTATTAGTGGGATCCTTTCCTCCATTTTCAAACAGCAACCTCTAATTTTGGATCCTCCCCCCTCACGTCTGCAAGCAAGAGGCTAAGCTTTGGCGAAGAGCCGCCCAAGCCGCACAGGACACCTGCTGTAAAAGGACTGAGGTTGGGCATTCAGGTTTACGGTTCATGGAGTTGTGTTTTCAGGGCTGAGAACGCAGGTTTCAGAAGCTGCGATTCAGCTTGCGAGGCCTCTTGTTTGAAGAGCAGTTGGCCACCCCAACCCCAACTCTCCTGCAATCCCGGGGGTCGAAATACACAAAGAGTGGGCTTGAGGTCTCAAATCCCAAAACGCGAATGGTTTAAGGTGCCTAGAACTGGCTTACTTGACCTTGTCGACAAATGTGGATGTTTGGGGTTCCATGTCAGTTTGCGTCAGTGCAAAGTTCGGTCGATGGCCCACAGTGCGTGTGACGGACTTGGACTAGGCAGTCAGCACAGACCATCCTCAATCAAGTCTAGGTGCGCTTCCGTCAAGTTCATTTGAATGTTGAGAAAGAACATGGGGTTCTGTGGAAAGAGAAGGGATCCTTAGTAAATACTCGTAACCAGGCCCATGTCCACGTGTACTGTTCCCTGGTATGCACGGTCCTGACAGTAGCCAGTTTGGGCTTCGGGCAAGTGATGCAAATAGCTTCGAAATCGTCAACCCGTAGCTCTCCACCCACCAATGTCGAGTCCCGATAAGTGTAGGGGACTCAATTGTGCGAGGCTTGGCCACAAGAATTCACGCTGCTCCACCGATTCGTTAGGGGGGGCCTCATCTGTGCGAAGTTGCGCGGCCAGAAGTGTTTTGCGGCAGTAGTTAGGTAGGACAACAACTAAGTTGCTTTCGCTAGATTCACCCAACCTGTCCACCTCCTGAAATAAGGGTCCTAATCCAAGTTGCCGTTACTAAACTTTTGGAGTAGAATATCTGCTTCAAGGATCTCAAGCTTCAAGATTTCAGGTTTCAGGTGCAGTCACAAACTATCGATGTCTTGTTAGGCGTATTCGTGGAGGCCAGGTAATCATTGTTGTATGGGGGTGGTCCAGCAGCTGCCCAGGTCCTGAATAGCAAGAATGCTTTGAGACTGCTGAAGTATCCGAAATTTTCGGGCCCCCTTAAGGATTCCAGAAAGCAAAGCCTTTGCTCTTTGAGGCCCACTGCTCTCTCCTCTTGATTTGAATCTAAGACAGCTACTGAGCGCCGCAACCGCCCTCCTATTGGATTTGATGAAAAACAGCTGCTGAGCCCTGCAACTCCCCTCCTACTGGATTAAATTTGAAACACCTGCTGAGCTCCGCAACGCTCCTCCTACTGGTTTTAAGTTTAAACAGAGCCCCGAAGACCCTCTTCCAATTGATGTTAATTTGGAACTACCATCCAAATTTAGAGGGTCCGCCCCCCCACCAAAGGAGGTTCCATTGTTGTGTGGGGGACCGGGGAGCGGGGAGTCTAGTACACTTCTCAGGCCCCCACATTAGCAGTCACTAGCTATCATAGATAGGAAGTGTACCATGGTGCTTTCTATGGTTGACTGTCAGGGGGTGGGGCAAAGCCCGCAAGTAAACTCTTCACTTCAAATATTCTTTAGCACAAGCCTAATAAGCCCCCCCTCGAAGAAAAAAAGAGGGCACGTGAGGATCCCTTCTGAATCCCGAGACGGTGCACCAAGAAGAACCCGCAAATGGACAAGTATGATGACAAGACCTTGAATCTGAAACACATGTATGGTTTGTATGGGCAGATCCAACACTTCAAACTCCTACAAAACCTACGACCCGTCAGGAGAAAATCACACCCTCTCCTTGTCATGAACCCCTGCCTGCCCCCAGCGATAAGTTTGGCCGTCTGGTTTTCAATGTTGATCTTGGGAATATTCCTAAAATCCCGAAACGCATTATCAGGTTTCATTATGAGGCCGAGGGGAATGCAAAGCTTGAGTCGACGCTTGACCCCAAGTGCCTTCTCCTTGGAGCGAATCAAGAACTCCTGGGCGAGGTTGAGGCAAGCGAGAATATGGTTGGGGTTTGTATGAGTTTCTGATCCCGTTTTTCAGCAATCAGGCAAAAACACTAGGGAGCCTTTCTAAGCCCCATAGAGAGCAAACCGACAAACTTCGGGGCATGGAGGTTCTGGGCTTCAGGCTTGGGGTTCGAAGTTCCAAGCCTGCCTGGATTTCCGCAGCAACTAAGCCAACTAAGCGTCCGTGCAGGTGCAACCCAGCTTCTCTCGATGCGCCAAAGCTGACATTCACAATGGGCGTGCCATGCCTTCAAGCTTTCGTGATAACATGGTACTGGCACGAAAACTTTCACTAGAAAGGTCAACTGCGCTGCCAGCAGGTTCGCCGAGCAATATCTGCTGTACATGGAGTGCTTCCCGCTCAAGATTTGCACGCCGAGAAGTTGCATATTGCCAGTATTCAGTAGCAGCGCATCAAGTTAGTTGTGCCTTTGCGGACCTGGGCAGGCCAACCAGCTTCCCGTGCTTCCAGTACTCAGCAATAGGCTGTATGTGTCTAGTAAAATATAGCAACATGCAGTTGACAAGAAACAGAAAATCGTGAACTTGATGAACCTTGGGTAGAGGCATCAGCCGAGAGCAAGAGGTTTTTGCTTTCGAGGCTATCGCAGGATGCTAAAATCCTGCCAGTGACCTGAAGCTGCAAGCTTCATTCCTGGCATGGAGGATTTACAGTAAATGCATGTGTCTGGTCTTCCTTTTTGCAGTCTGAACCCCAAACCCCAAGAGTTTTACACTTTAGGGGAAGGTCACGCAAAATGATACCTGCGGTTATGTACGAGCAACATAGTGAGGACCATGTTGCACGGGCATGCTGGGATTTGTAGAACAAGGATTTTGGGTTCCCTCTGATTTAAACTACAGCTATGGTGAACGTGCTCGTGCTCGTAATTTCAGACCTGCTTATTACCAGTGGCGGATGTCAGCAGGAGTGCAGAGGCAAGTCTGACTTCCACAGTGAGAGGGAAGGCTGGTTTGTGAAAGCCACTATAAGCCGCTAAACTTTCAGTCCCTAAAAAATGTAGTCTCCCCAAGACTAGCAGGGAGATTCCGAAAGAGGTTCGCCAAAACTGTTGTTCTCCGCCTGTTGCCTGGACCTATGCACCCGCGGAAGATCAGTCAAGAAGCGCGATATCGAGGGTCTTGTCCGAATGCACGTTAATGCTGTCATCCCCCGAACCTTGCATGGCGCTGCCCCATGTGGTTGCAGGCAGGCTTTGGTTCTAGTTCTGGCGCTTATAAGATAATGAACTATAGAGGCATGTATACACACATCCGGGAAGGGCTCCTAGGTTCGCATCATGCCATCCAACCAACCTTGTCCAAACTTCAATGCAGGGGGCGGTAGAGCTGGATGAGGGCGTGGTTGAAGTGGAAGCCAAATGCAGCCCGAGCTGCTTTTATCACCTTGGTGCTTGAGGCTGTATTGGGCGGTCTTCGAGATCAGGATACTCGTGACCTAGTGCTTTCATTAAAGAAACCGGCTTGTCAGCATCAAAAACCACAGTGGCACCAGCATTTTACACAGCATCGCACCCTTGGTGAACGTCTCGAAGCCCGATAGATTTGTTCCCCCCACCCTGAAACAGTACCCCAATAGTAGAACTGTAGTAATATTGCGCCTGTAATACAGGCTCTAGACCAGACTACTGCAAGGCAACATCAGACCTATGGGCCCACAGGCGCAAAGAGCCCTTGTATGTTTCAGAAACCTTCTACCAACGCGTATGCCAGTAGTTTTGGGAATCCGAAATATTTCTCCATCCACCATAGCCAACAGTAGTAGCATTCAGCTGCCTGTCCAGAATGTCCGCTGGGACACTCTTAGCACCGTTGGCGTGAATTCTGACACAGCGGGCTGCTCATCCTTTCTTGGCGTGCTTGAGGGCTACTGGGAATCCCATGGGCCCGTACAAGTGAGGTTACCAATAGGATAACTATCATGTCAGTTAGAACCTAGATTGAATTCATTGTTGGACTTGTAAAGCTTTTTCTAACTAAGCGCATCAACCCCCGGACGACTAGGACTGAACCGTTACTTGCTGCGGGTATGAGGGTTGGCTTGCACTACCTTGCATACCCTGTGCTATTTGGATAGCGCAGTTTGCTTGTCGGGTGCAAGATTTCCTCCTCAAAAAAGATAGGCTTGAAGGCTTTGACCCTCTGGGCTAAGAAATCTTCGGGCTCTGGGTCTGCAGTTTCCCAGTGCTGCTGGAATTCGCATTTGTATCAAGGATTAAGGTACGAAATGCGTTGAGCTCTAGGCCGCGGGCACTTAGCTCTCTCCTGATGCACGCACGGAATAATCAACGTGGCAATAGCCGCAGTCCTAGTATGCAGGACATGCTATGCAAAAGCATGCTGACTTGCTATGACTCTGACGTGGGAAGAACTCAGCATCAATGGAGTGCTTTCCGAGACCGACCTACCACGCATCAGCTAATTCCGGGTACAGAATTCGAATTGGTTTCGAGGAGCATGCCGCACGAGGACGGCAGGAGATTGAACTATGAAGCTTATCTATCAGCTGCGCGCACAGTTGTCCCAATCGAGGGATGGCATGTTCAGGCCGTGTCTCAAAACCAAATTAAGACCAAGGCCCTCCAAACAAGAACTTGCTCAAAATCGAGGCCTCAAACCCTAGGGCCAACAAATTGTTTGCGGCACCTGGCAACCTCAACAGTATGTAGAATAACGATCTTTTGAACTTTCTAGGGTTTTGGGCCATTATTTTGCCTACTTTTGGGGTCCAGGTGCCCACCTAAGGTCTAGTCCACAAAGCGTCCACAGGATGTCGATAGATGGGCAAGGAGC